ACTCTAAAGATAACAGCGTTTGTAGGGGAGAAATCCACTACAACTTAACTCTATTCTTAATTTTAAGGTCGCTGTCACCAGACCCCCCCACCCCCCCTGGACAGTATGTAGCTCGTTAGGTAGAGGGCAGAGTAAGCTAGGCATTGGGTTGGGTTTTTCATTGACCAAATCGAGTGTGGGAAGAAGGGTAAAACATCAAGCATGACTTAACTAATTTATTCCTTATAAAACATATTGCATCCCGTCACAATACAAAAAGAGTTGGCCTTCATCAGAAGAACAACTATTATGTTCATTACACTTCTCATCAATACACGTCTTACATCAAATAATTACTGTTATCATCTTCATTCTTCATAACAACCAATGACCTCCTTACTTCGGTCATTCCTTCTTACCATAACACCCAACACAACAGACTGCACCACCTGTTAGAGTATAGCATCACATGTTACATTACAGCACCACATGTTATATCATAGCACCACATCTTGGGTACACTCCACACCTACAAGTATGGAAGTCCTCGGTATTCTTAGGTACACATACCAGGTACCTGGTTCACACTCTACCCTTGCTGAGTAGATGGGATACTTCCCAAGTAATCATACCAGTACTGGTTCCACGCTTGGTATTATTAGGTCGCTCCACGTAGCGACCGCGAAACTTCTCAAACACACATTTTATACTGCCAGACTGGGGTCACTAATTCTAAGGGGGAATACTTAACTCTAATCTTAATTTCTAAGGGTCGCTGCCACCAGACCCCCTCTGGACGGCATGTAGCTAATTAGGTAGCGTGCAGAGTGGACTAGGCATTGGGTTAGGTTTTTCATTGACCAGATCGATAAGGGGAAAGAAGGGTGAAACCATAACATGTCTCAATTAATTTTTTCCTTATAAAGCATACTGGTAAAAAACATACAAATGAATTGGCCTCCCTCAGAAGAACAACGAAAATTTTGGTTACCCTGCTCGGCACCAGACGTCTTACATTAATGGCGTGTCATCCACATACTCATTGCATAACAATCTGTGACCTCCTTACCTCGGTCATTCCTTCTCACACTATCCCTTAACACATCAGACTGCTCCACCTGTATGGAATATAGCACAGTCGGTTATCATACAAAATAGCACCATCTTAACACACTTGTTACACTCCACACCTGCAGGTATGGGACTCCTGTAATTTTTAGGTATACATAACAGGCACCTCGTTCGTACACCGTCCTCGGTGGGTAAAGACGAGGGCTGCACCAAGAGACATACCAGTACTATTTCTACGCCTGGTATTATAGGTCGCTCCAAGTGACGACTGCGGAGTTTCTCACGGTCTCCTTATTTGTTACTACTCCTTTTGGGTGGTGTGCTGGGAATCCACAGGTTCACAGTGGATTGTCATAGCTGGGAGTAGTCACCACCTGGTGGGACGCTCACAGGGATAATGGCTGCCGCGCAGCAAGGCACTCCGACCGCATGGGACCTGAGGTGACGTAGAACGGAGGGTACTGAGAAATAATGCCTGACGGGCGGTTATCACACACCCTAACACATTACTATTACACATATACATCAGGCAAAGCTTTAAACTGTAATAACTTCTATATAAGCCTTAATTATAGGGCGGGATGTAGCCCGATAGGACACTGACCTGAGGCGACGGTAGAACGGAGGGTACTGAGGGCAGTGCCCTGCCGCTCGTCACCGCGTAGGCCTACAGCTTCCAATCTTTAATTTTTACTTTTATTTCTTACAGTTCTCACCTGAACACTTTTCGATATATTGTCACTCATGCCTTATAAACACATATTTTAAACCTAAATTACACACTAAGGTAAGGTTGTGATTTGCTAATTCGTGGGTAAATTCAGTTGGTTATAATATCAACGCGGCACACTCGAGGCGGGTACAGGACGCTCCCTCAAACAAAGGCCGAATGTTCATGGCGTGGGTGTATCCACTTCATTTAAAACTGTGATTAGGGATCCTCCTCTCACACATTGCACTATTTGAACACAGACATAAGATTCTCTGATCACTGTACTTGTCGTGGGTATATGTCACGTGAGGATACGAGGTGTATTAAGTTCACACCGACGCATACAAGATATTTCATTTCAAGTATAGTTTCTGGGTCACTTCCAACACTTCACATAGTTCTGATACATTTATCCTTTTTCCAGATCATTGTTCTCATGTATTTTCATATGATATCTGTGGAAGTTATGTTCGCTACACGTTCACAGACGTAAATAGTATGACCTTCAAACCATGATCCACACTTAGTCCTACAGTACACTAGTCCGACTCAACTGGACTTTCCCGGTCATCTTATGGATACCCTGAGTTCTCCTTAATGCTATGAACTCATACATTTAATATTATATAACCGTACCTGGGTCCAACACAACATATGATTCAGTAACCTTGAGTAGGTGAGTTATCCTTCATCAATGTTTCCCGTTTTCTGAGATTCTACAAGCGCGGTGGATTTGAATGTTATGTAGCGTAATATGAATTAAATGGGTTTTTAGGAATGACAATGATGTGCGCAGTACATTTTAATTTCTCCTATCCTCACTGGTGATATGTAGGGTATCCACAGATTCACAGTGGAGGTGCATAATGGCCGTAAGCAGTCACACTACACATGGCGAGTCCCTCACAGTGTGGTAATGGCCGACGCTCTGAACGCGTGGTACCTGTTTTGGTGGGAGACGAGCGTCATTGAGAATAATGCCTGGTGGGCTTTTATAACCACACACTAGTACAACTATTACTTCACTTTATAACATTAGGCAAGGTTTTAAGATGTAAAAAATTGCTAGATAAGTCTTTTTAGGGCTGAATGGAGCACGATGGAGTTCACTGACCTGTTTTGGTGAGAGATGGGACGTCCTTGAGGGTGGCGCCTCGCGTCTCTCACTGAACTTGGCCTACAGTTTCCAACCTTAATTTTCACTTTGATTTTATTCTGGTTCTCACATGTACACCTTCCTATTTATTGTGACCTTATGCCTAATAATTATATATCGTAATCCTAAATTACATACTAAAGTAAGGATCTGGTTTGCCAGTTCCTGGGGAAATTAATTGGGCTATATCATTAACCCAAAGTGTAGCCCGGGGCAGAATGGACGCCATCATAGAACAATGCCTCGCGTCGTATTTTTATGGCGTGGGTATAACCACTTCACTTTAATCTGTATTTAAGGATCCTCCCCTCACACGTTACAATCGTTGAACACAGTCATAAGATTCTCTGATCATTGCATTGTGTTGTGGTTATTTGTCACATGAGATAATGAGGTGTATTAAGCACACACCGAGGCATACAAGATATTTTCTTTGATGTACAGTTTCCGGATCACTTCCAACACTTCACAGAGGTCTGATACATTTATACTTTTTCGAGATCATTGTTTTCTTGTATTTTCATCTGATACCTGCGGTAGCTATGTTCAATAATCGTTCACAGACGTTGTCATGATCGTGATAACGGCTAACCTGAAAACCTTAAGGATTCATATTACGCTCAAACGTCCACAAAACCTTCTGAGTCCCCCAGTGGAAACGTCCCCCGTTTTCTCTGTTGCCCCGTCTTTGTCTTAAGGGAACTTTGAATATAATCCACGGATTTTGTAGCAGACGCTGTATGTTGGGACCTGTTGCCATCCAACCCTTTGTAATCAATTTAATTTTGCTTTTGATAGCTGAGTCAGAACATTGTTAGTGAAGATAATAATAGGGAATGAAACTGAGTTCATAGTCTCAGTTTCAACGTCAGAGTGTACAGTAAATTAATTCATCGGAATAGAAGTAGGTGGGCTCCCTGGTCTGTTTTGAGTGAGGGCCCCGCGGGCATTTCTACCGTTAGTGAGTGCCCGTCCCTTCATCCATACAGGTTCCTAACGCAGCCTAGGCCGTGTCTGTAGCGTGGATGTTGTATCCATTTAAGATGTCTTGTAATGATCGTGATAACGGCTAACCTGAAAACCTTAAGGATTCATATTACGCTCAAACGTCCACAAAACCTTCTGAGTCCTCCAGTGGAAACGTCCCCCGTTTTCTCTGTTTCCCCGTCTTTGTCTTATGGGAACTTTGAATATAATCCACGGATTTAGTAGCAGACGCTGTATGCTGGGACCTGTGGCCATTCAACCCTTTGTAATCAATTTGATTTTGCTTTGATAGCTGAGTCAGTGCATTGTTAGTGAAGATAATAGTAGGGAATGAAACTGAGTTCATAGTCTCAGTTTCAACGTCAGAGTGTACAGTAAATTAATTCATCGGAATAGAAGTAGGTGGACTCCCTGGTCTGTTTTGAGTGAGGGCCCCGCGGGCATTTCTACCGTTAGTGAGTGCCCGTCCCTTCATCCATACAGGTATGCCATTCCACGCTGTGTTGTAATTCGCCCTTCTTTAAGTGATTTGACCCAATTAATAGTTGATTGTGCAAGTGTTACAGTAACGTAGTTGATATGCTCTGAGTGAAGTCATATTTACGTCTTTAACGTCCCCTGAAACGTGATGTTGTTGTCACCGTTAGTGAGTGCCAGTCCCTTCATCCATACAGGTCCCTAACGCAGCCTAGGCCGTGTCTGTAGCGTGGATGTTGTATCCACTATGTCTGGGAAGATGTCCGAGGTCCAGTAGGATCAGTTACCTTCGTGAGACCCGGCCGTCAGACACTTCAGACTACCTATAGCCCCCATAGCTGGCTCGTCTGGCCCTAACGCTCGGTCTGCGAGGTGACCCCGGATCACCACGCCACACACCACTACCAGCCCCCATCATTGGTGGATGAGTGTCTAACTCAGTAGGGCTATTTGTGTGGTGGAATTAATCCACTGGGATCTCCAGAGTTCATCGGAAAGTACTCCATGGTGGCTGGACCCCATGGCTGCTGCTTGAGTATCACCCCTGACGACTGAGTGTTGTAGTGGCAGTTGCCCTGGTCTTTATGGTGCTAAGTGACTATAATAGTTGTGTTATTGAGTAGGTCCACCCAGTAGGGTTGGAAGTGTTATTGAATATGTCCACCCAGTAATGGTGTGAGTATGTTGAGCCTGAGGGCCTAGTACTAGATTTCGTCTGTTGGTACAAATAAATTCTTTCTCCTAATTTCATATTCATGTTTAAATAAATTTTGTATTTGTATAATTGTGTCTATTATTTACCTACAGTATTTACCGTTATTTCTTCCCTATTGCTTGATACTATCATTACATCTACCCACGAGCCTCCTATCGTCACGCTACCAATGGTAATAAGTATGAGAGTACAAGGAATTGTTACTGGCACACAGAGGCCCTCATAAAAGGTGGCAGCTCAGGCCCTCATAAATGGTGGCAGCTCAGGCCCTCATAGGAGCTGGGCATAACCACGACCGCACGCCCTAAACCTACAGAGAGTTGCTTACTGGTACACGGCCCTCATGAAGGGTGGCAGTAGCAGCCCTCATAAATGGTGGCAGCTCAAGCCCTCATACCCAAGAAGAAAATAAATATGTATGAGATGTTGGAAGAGATCATTAAAAAAAAAATGAAGTAATGTACACTGTATACTATGAGATAAAGATGACAGTTTGCCGAGGAAGATGTGAAGAAGATACATGAAGAGAGAGTGTAAGATATAACAAAAATCTCAATACAGAACAGAGGCGAGAATGTGGAATAGTGTAGTTCTCAAGGCATCATAATTCAGTAGTGAAACAAATCTAAATATTGATACCAGATCAATATATAATGAGAATAGCAACAACTGGTGAAGAGGTAAGGTGAGGAAGAGGAAAAACAACACATTATATATATATATATATATATATATATATATATATATATATATATATATATATATATATATATATATATATATATATATATATATATATATATATATATATATATATATATATATATATATATATATATATATATATATATATATATATATATATATATATATCATAGGAACATAACTTCATCTGATGTTAACACTCACCACCACTGGTCTTGCTGACAATGTGTTGATGACATCCTTGAGAGCTTCAGGCATATACTGTGTCAGAGTTTCTGTCAGCTGCCACAGGGCCGGGTAGTCTTGTAGCAGCTCCTGCAGGTCATGTGCTGTGGACCACATTACCAACACACATCAAAACACATGTCTACATCAAAATTCTCAAAATGTCACATTATATCAAACTACTGTGCCATATAATTTGTCACAAAAAATCACAATCCCAAGCATAAAGTGTCTAAGAAACAAACAAAAATTTATTGTCTGAGGTAATACATTTTTTATTCCTTCATATGATTCACAAATAATCATTTAGTTTTAATGTTTTGCTTATTATAACTCAAAGAGATACAATATAATTATCCAGTCTCCTTTTCACTGCTGTAAGAAAACTCATAATAAAGCTTAGACACCAAAATTATATTTTTAACAACATAGATTTTGACCTATAGTAAAAAATCTCCTGAAGCAATAGGGGCTTTCCTATCCACTAGGTCAAGGTAGTTTACAGCATCAAATTCATCAGTACTGTATACAGAAATCAGAGGAGATGGACACACCCATGACATGTACTGTTTTGATATAAACATATTATCTAGTCATGTGGAGATAAAATAACCCCCAGCTGGAGCTTAATACAGTACAGTTATCTACACCAAAAACCACTGAAGAGATGGAGGAGTTAACTGTTCAAGTTTATAAATTAAGGACAGAGAGAGACATATACCTTCTGCTATATGTCTCCCACCAAGGTTGGAGCAGAGGAATAATTACAAGGTTCTCACATAATATTATCATTAACTTTTACCTTCTCTACACACATCTCATTTTGCTTTTCTTAGTACTGCAGACCATTTCAAAACATTTCTTATTCTTAATGAGCTGTCAACTCAACTTTCTCTATTTTCTTAGATAATTTATAAAAATTTACAGTTCAATATAGACTTAGGATTTCCTGTTGAGAGGCTTACCCAATATACTCTTTATGTAAACACGTAGAGTAGATGATGTTATAAAGGTGTTGAGAGACCCCTGGTTAGCCCCCAGCCACCCTAACACCATCTCCACCGCAGGCATTACACTGGTCAAGTTGCTGCAAACATCAAAATACTGTACAAGGTGTAACGTGTTTATGTAAAACATCATTCACTAATAAGTTTATACATGAAAAGTGCATAAAGTTAAGCTGGCAATAAATTCTAATAATGTACCATATAATAAAGGTTCTGTCCCTGAAAAAATTGCCATAAAATAATTTGTCATAAATAAAAGCAGATTTTATTACAGACTCCCATTATAAAAAAAGATCTTAAATTGCTACAAATTGATACTGTACAAAAAAGTTTTTCATGAGAATTTTTGGTGCAGAAAATGATTACAAACCAACACTGAACATAATAAGTAAATAATAAGTAAATAATAATTAATACTGTAATTGATATTCAGTTAATTTGACCAGAGACAAGAAGACTGGAAACAAAGTAAACACTAAGCCAACATCTATAACAATTATATTACCCAAGTAATGCATTGGCTCCCATTATATAATTGAAGATTCTGTGCATGTGTTATGAAAAAAAAATCCCACACTGGACTCCTGATGAATTACTGCAGCATCCTAAATTCACAGTGCTTTGTTTACATGCTGAGAGTGATGCAGTCACAGATGCTTCAGCAATGATTAGGCTGGTGTGCTCTGTACTCTTTGTTCAGTGTGCTCTGTACTTTTTGTTTAATATTGATTTTATTTTGCTTTCGCAATGCCCAGAAAAAACACAGAAGCAATAGAACTGAGTTTAACAGTGCTCAAAGGAAATGCAAAGTGTTACAAAAAACGTGGAAACTTCTGCATAAATTGGAATAAGAACACTAGGACTGTCAATGAGGAACTGAAAATTCCACAGCACTGTGAATTCACCAATAGTTGGCTTCAAACATCTAAGTGGTACCTTACTTCATGCAAACTCAATGAGAAAATTCTGAGGGACGCCATCATCACACACCTGACCGAGTACAGTCTCATCAACGCATCACAACACGGTTTCATGGAAAAGGAAATCCTGCCAGACAAACTTCTCACTTTCCTTGAAGCGGTAACAGGCTACATTGAGCAAGGCTTATCAATGGATGTGTTGTACAGTCAATAAAAAAAGATTTTACCATTTTGTTGTCTATAACAAAATGAAACATCCTGTGAAAACTGTAAATATATACCTGTGGTTACCGGCGTCAGAGGATTGCTATCGCTCATTTCCTAATCCACCGACCTTGGGGTGGTCAATAGTTTTTTTATTGATTGTACGTACATGGATTTCTCCAAGGTATTCGACAAAATCCCACATGCACAACAAGCCTCTAAGATCCAGGCACATCCAGACATATTGGTCATGTTTGACAAATTGGATGGACATTAACAAGGCCTCAGAGAAGTTCAAACTACTTTTAATGGTATTCTTGACGATGTAGCATGGTTAAAGGACATAAGGATAAAAGCTAGGACTGAATCCTGGATGACTAGTGAGATACTGGAATCAATCAGACATAGACATCAACTCGTCCATAAGTTTAAAAGAAACAAATACTGTATGATGACGAGTCACCCAAAGAATTTTATTGGCTAAGAAACAAAGTACAGTACAGGGAGAGGTAAAGAAAGTGAAAGAAGAATACTTAAACAATAAGAATGAGAAAAATGAAAATAACCCCCAAAAGCTCTGGCAGCAACCAAAAGCCTTTGGGGACAGCAACAAACCAAAAGAACGTTCCAACGTCATGTTAAACATCAATGATGAGCTCTGTCACGACACATCTGAAGTTGTAAGCCACCTTCATTCCTTTTGTACAACAGTTGCCTCATTTCTAGTTGAAAAACTGCTGATAGCCTCAAACAAAACAATTACAGTTTGGGATCAGAAGCTTTTTAATCCCACTACAGAAAGAGAGGTATTACTCTAGATAATACTGAAATCCACGTGGTGACAGAGGACTTTGTTCTTAAGGAGTCAAGATAAATTGGACCCCTACAAGAGTGCAGGTATTGATAGCATCCCAGCCAGTGGGTTTGGTCTTGGCTATGTATTTATCATTCAAATACCTGTAGTTCACTTTAATAACTATAATATTCAGGGTGGTATTCATATTATTTCTCAATGAGTCAGGCCAATGGATAGATACCCCATATTTCCTCCCTCATCCTGTTGTAATCACCATTGTAATATTTGAACCTTGGCCAGCTTTCTTCATGAACTACATAACAGTTAAATCTGAAGGACAACATCATGTGATGGTTAGTGTCAACATGAGCTAAATGATACATGTTGGCCACCATAACCTCCATGTTAGTTATGATGAGATCCAGTGGTTTTGGTGTTCCTTTAGTGTACGTATTTAATTTTCCACATAATATATGAGAGTAAATCAAGAGAATTTAGACAATCATGCAAATGGCTTGTTGACAAGTCTACTTGTCTTTATGAGTTTGAGGAGTAAGGTATATGGTGAATTTAGGAAAAATTATGATACATTGAAAGGATATTTGTAGAGTTAATAATAATGTGAATGTTAAAAAATAATTATTAAAAAATAATAGAATAAGTTAGTAAAATAAGTAAGAATAGGTACAAGTAGTAAAAAAGAAATATTTTAGCATATTTTTGCTTTTACTCCAGGGTCTTCATTCATAAATTAAAGCACGAGACCCATTTTTTTTTATATTCTGAATACTGTATTGGTATATTGAAGCTTCATAAATCAGGGACTACTTGTACATTAAAAAAATTAATTAGTATTTTCCATCCTAGTTTAATCTTTAAATATCCAATTCAATCCAGAAATCACATGACATATTGTAATAGAAATGCAAATGTTAATGCTGTATAATAATTTTGAACTCTTAGCAGTATTCTCCTTTAACTAATGTACTGAAAAAGTAAACAACTATTTAGTAATGTACCTCCCTTCTCCTCTTTCAGCAATCCTCCTCATTAGAATATCCCAGTTATCCTGCAGCAGATATGATGGCAGCACCGGTGAGAAGGAAACGTAGGAGGGGGAGGAGGTAGCATCGGAGACACGATTCTCCTCTAAAATATTAACACCTCGGAGAAGTGTAACGACCTTGGCAACCACCGTCCTCGATGTGTTGTACAGCTTGAAAGTTGATGGTTGCCAAGTGTTGTTGTTCTGTAAGTGTAAAATCATTGCCATAACAACAGTGCCGAGAAAGATACGACACAATGGATTTTCTGTTTATACAGTATTCAATTTTGTACTCTGAGGAAAAATGAATGAGAACATTGGCCATTAAGTGATGACCTCTTGTTCTAAAATCAATAATGTCTGTGACAGGTTGTGCAGATTATGAGGAACATTTCTTTGCACAGTATATTGGGAAAATGACCTTTGAAATTTACTTGCCCTTTTTTTTTTGCTTGCCCTGACAAATTTTTGGAGGAAATTTGCTTACCTGGATTATTTTTTGGCAAAAGTTAAATAAACATCGCAAAACATCAAATTTACTGAGTGTATCAACTTGTGTCCATTTATAAATAGTGTCAATGCCAGTAACCCTTGTCCTGTGATGTCAAAACATTGCCTCAACTCATACCTACAGGATGTGTGGGGCGGCACAGGTGATATCTGTGATCGTCTACCCTAACTATAATCTGGTGTCAGTGGCGATAACATTTGTCATGGGAGGTCATAACCCTTATCACCATGTCTACAGCCTCTCAGTTTAGTGGTTCCTTTGAAATGTTGACAACTTGACACTGACTGACTAGAGGTTCTTGAGGTGGGTTGACAACTTCATAGAGATAATTAACTGCACCTGACATAGGTCACTAATCCTGGTACACTAATAACTAGCGGCCTGTTGAAAGACCTCCCTAGTTAAACATGTACGGCGAGATGGGGTCACACAGCCCCTGACAATTTCCCATCTAGGTATTTTCCTCTCAAAATGTTACCTTGTCCACCGGGCAAGTGCCGGACATGGATGTGAAAAATCACTTGCCCGGCCTCTAGTCCGGGTGTCAGGATTTACTGCATCAGCGATACCATTTCGCTCAATGGTTTGGGAAGGAGAGTGAGGAATTGTGATGACCCAAGTTTAGGGTGGCAAGATCAGGAGGAAGCAGACATGAAAGAGCAGTGGTGGAGGGAGAAAGCAGTTGTTCCAAGTCCTCTACACATACCTCTACCTACCTCCAACCTGCCCTGCCTGGTACTTCTCCTCTCCCACTGCAGGTGTGTACAGAGTAACTTGCATACATACCAGTTGAGACTGAACATTTGTATAGACTTGAGTATACCCTGTACTATGTTATGTATACTTGTGACTTGAGTCAGGGTTTCATGATTATTGTAGGGTTAGCTCATATAAGGTACAGGTACTCCTCGACTTACGACCACCCGGACATACGACCACCTCAGTCGTACCAAAAAAATTTCAAATTAGGTACGTATTTTCCAGTACCGAAACGTTTCCATCCCATACAAGAGCGTGGCGTGGGCTGGGCCGCCTCGTGGTGTACAGCATCCACACCATAGCGCGCTCAGTTGGTCTTTGACCGTCGTTGTTGTCGGTAGTGATCACTCTGTGTACTAACAATATTTTAAATATTTTCGGTTCTAATTCCCTTTAAAATGACTGGCAAGCGTAAAAGTGAGAGTTCTGGTGGTGCTCAGAAGAAAAAAATGGCAGAGGCATTTGCTACTATTAATAAGGGGATGCAAATGTCTGACGAAATGGATCAAAATGTTGAGCGTTTTGCAAAAATTGATAGAATGCTCCAAGATGCACTTGCTTGCTACAGGGATATTTACAATGAAAAGAAAAGGCAAACTGTGCAGTCTAAATTGGACATATATTTTAAGGAGTTCCCCACTGCTGTCTCCTCATGCTCCACCACTGCTGCATCTTCACTCCCTAAAGATGATCCAATACCTTCAACAAGCAAGTATGTTAGCCTGTCTGAAGAAAGCGACATTGATGACCCACCCAGCCCTGTCTCCTCCTCTGCTTCATCCAATGTATGTACCGGTAGTCTCCATTGTTTAATTAAAAAATTATTGGGGCCCCGTGTGCATTCAGCTGACTACATTAAAGGTAAGTGCACAGTAACACTTTATTCATTTTTCATTATTGATTACTTATACTGTACAGTGGTCCCTCGGTTAACGAACGCCTCGGTTAACGAAATTTCGGTTAACGAGTTACCTTCCATAAGAATCTTCAATTCGGTTAACGAAAAAAAATTTGATTTGCGAAATCCTTATGAAAATCACATTTTGTTTTGAACATCAGCTGATAAGCTGAGGAGGTACTCAGCCAATTCAGTGATCTCTTCTATGTTTACATTCAAACTAATCACTATCTTATAAGAATTCCAGCAATGCAAATTAAATTCACCCCAGTCACTTCTATTACATTTTATAAGCAAAAAACAAAAACTCAATCTAAAAGAAAAAAATAAACTAACAATTAAATACTTCACACCACAGGCGCCAACTGTCAAACATGTCACTGTCACCCCTCCCTCCCTACCCCCCACCTTCCTGAGAAACGTTTGGGGAAAGAGACTAGGTTTACAGGTTTAAAAATAAATAATACCTCAGACTAAAGTTAGGATAAAATAATTTGCATTGCTGAAATCCTTGCAAGACAGGGAATATTTTGAATATAAACTTCATATATTTTGCACAAAAGATAAAATTTTTGCTCTCCCTAATAAAATTCTTAAATTAGATCTAAAATTTGTATGTCTAATGCAAATTTTAGCTTGTTTATTTTCAAATTAATCACTATCTTATAAGAATTCCAGCAATGTAAATTATATTCTGGCTTTCTGCGAGCTGGAACCAATTACCCAATATCCCATTGAAACAATGGTTTCGGTTAACGAACGACCTTCTGGAACGAATTGTGTTCGTTAACCGAGGGACCGCTGTATTGTATTTCATTTTAGATTTTCTATGTATTATTTTTTTCATTTTCAACTTACTACCAATTCGACATACGACCTGGATTTGGGTCCCTAACCCCATTGTAAGTCGGAGACTGCCTGTCTTCATATTTTGCTATTTAAAATATTAAATTTTTTCAATTTTCTTTATTGTTAATCATATACTAAAGACTTATTGTATTAGATTACAAGTTACTTTGCCACAATTAACTTGAAACTACCATTACCAAAAATAGTCATTTACTGCACTGTATATCTTATAAGAACTCTCAATTCATGATCTTTGTTTTAGAAATTCACTGATCTTGTACGAACAGAGTTCCTATCAATCCTAACCGTGACACAGGGCTCTGCTAATTTGCACAACCTCGTGTGTGATGAATGCAGTCACTAACACTAACTCACAGCAGTAAATAATTATACAGTATTACCCCGCTTTACACGGTTTCACTTTCCGCGATTTCTCATTTACGCGGTACCTTGCCAGAACCAGACTTTCACTTTCCGCGGTGCATCTACTCATATACGCGGTGAAGTATAATTCATTTTATTTTTTTTTATTTAGCTCATAAAATTCATACAAATTACCCAGCCAGAATATAATTTTTTGCTGGAATTCTTACAATATGATGATCATTTTGAATATAAACATCATGGATTTTGCATTAGACATACAAATTTTAGATCTAAAGTAATAATTTGGTTTACACAAAGCAAATATTTTATCTTTTGTGCAAAATATATGAAGTTTATATTCAAAATATTGCCTGACATGCAAGGAATCCAGAAATGTCAATTATATTATCCTAACTTTAGTCTGAGGTATCATTTATTACTAAACGTTAAAATCTAGAGTTTTCACCCACACATTTATCTGGTAGGGAGGGAAGGTGGGGGGTGGAGGGAGGGTTGGGACTGACCGACCCAGCTGGCATGAGTGTGAGGAGTGGGGGAGGCAAGGTGAGGTACTTTGATTGACAGATAGCGTCGTGAAGAATATTTTTTTTTTATTAACTGATGATATTTGTTTTAGCTCATAAAATTCATACAAATTACTCGACCAGAATATAATTTACATTGCTGGAATTCTTACAATATGATGATCATTTTGAATATAAACATCATGGATTTTGCATTAGACATACAAATTTTAGATCTAATGTAATAATTTGGTTTACACAAAGCAAATATTTTATCTTTTGTGCAAAATATATCAGAAGTTTACATTCAAAATATTCCCTGACCTGCAAGGAATCCAGAAATGTCAATTATATTATCCTAACTTTAGTCTGAGGTATTATTTATTACTAAACGTTAAAATCCAGAGTTTTCACCCACACATTAATCAGAGAGGTAGGAGCTAGTAGGTCGTAAGTCGAGGAGTAGCTGTATTTACATAATGTAATAATATAATCAAACTGACACAAATACAATACTACTCTGGTTTATTATATGCTTCCCTTGGACACATGTTTATGATGGTATCCACTTTATATAATTATCCATTTTATGGCAGCCTGTTGGTCCTACATTTTTTCGGTGACATAATCTACTGTGCATATAACTGAGGTGTGCCATACATGTAGCTAAGATCTTGCATTAACCTAGGGATATTTTTAAAAAACAATCAAGTTAGTGAAAAGTTGAGTTGTAATAACTACTTAAATGCTCATGTTAAAGTTATTGAAATTAGAAAGCTTATAATCTTAACTTTAAATACTGTATTCTATTGCTATCTTCCCATGAGCACTATCCTGAGCAAGGTGATCCATGTATAATTTTTTGACAACTTCAATATATTATGGTATCCTTAATTTTTGATGTTCTAAGTGACAGAAGCCATGTTGTTGGTACAGTGGTTATGCATATGCCTCTCACTACTGTGTCCCAGGTTCAATCCATGGCCCAGGCTGCATGTCAGAAGGATGTTATCCAATGTGACACTACCAAACATTGCAGGTCTTCTCCAGGTACTTCATATTCCTCCTGTACTAACACTGGACAATGAAGGTCATAAAGACGAGACCAACCTCCCTTATGACCAATAAGCTGATAAGTGGTGGTAAAAGCAAAATGAACAATTCACATTTAGTCATAAAAACTCACCAAGTCATTCATCAGCTGCTCATACTGGAGCCAAGTGTTGAAGCTTCCTGGAGTAATGTGTGAAAGAACATCACACACCTCACCCACAGACTCCTGGAACTGATTACTGCCTTCTACTGGTTCCACAAGACTGGAGGCAGATGAACAAAACTCCTGGAGAGTCTGATTAAAGAGCATCGGGTTGAGGAAGATGTTGTGGTGAAGGCCATCCAGAAGGTCAATCCAAGAAGAGTTGAGGACATTATGGAGGTTAATGATGGAAGGTGGTATACTGTCCATCAGGTGATCTGTGGGCAACATTACATTGTACATATCAAACATAACAGCCTTTATCTTTTATTGAAGAGCTTGTGCTGAATATAGTTATCACACAAATATAACTATTTTCCTATAGTAACAAGCAACTACCTAAACCTAATTTTATAGATTCAGTGTCCAGGAACTTCCTAAAGGTATCACTGTCACTATTAATAGATATTGTAGGCACACAATAAATCTGGTCTGATCATTCCACAAAGAAGTTGATTATAGAAAATCACATTAAAATTATTATTTTCCTGCTACAGCTACAGAAACTATGAATCACAACCTCTTGAGTAAGACAAGACTAATATGGTTTGATTTTATTCTCTTTCATATGAAATTAAGCAAGATGACACAATAGAATTCTTAATTAGATACGTTCTGAACAGTATATGATTTTCCATCATTTTGACACTGTACATATATGGTGCAAGAAGATAAGGAAATATTTTTTAAATACCATTTCTTGTTTTTAGTGACACATTTGGCTTCAGAATGAATAATGTTACCTTGTTTTTACTGTCATGCTGACAAACCTTTCTCAAGTTTTACATATTTTATTGTTAAATGTTTTACTTTCTGTTGTCTAATTTTCTTTTCAAGAAATTTTAAATACATACAGTAGAGTACTGCACACTTGGTTAAAACTACCATACACGTGGGGTCCGATGATTTTCCAACTGAACATTCCCGTTGTCTCACTAGGGTTGGTAGGCCTGAATGTGACTGGAGAATGTCAGTATATCTAGATAAGTTAAACTGTATGTTATATTAAATGTTCCACACACCGTGGACTACAGTAACCATGGAAGTGGACGAGTTGCCATATAGGAATGCATTATATGTTTGGCAGAATTAGTAGATATAGTAACGGTATAAGATTATTTTGCAACAGAATTTTGAATCAGTATTTGTATTGCTACTTCACTTTGGGCTAATACCACATTAGGTCATTCTTTATTTGTATTGGAAAATATACCATACTGTTCCGAAACATCTGAATAGTTCCACAGTTTGGCACAGCGTCATAACGGAACCCGGCCCAAAGACGTTTTACCATACGGTCGATAATTCCTGAAAGTCTAGTACTGGGTTTCGTTTCAGAGTGCCGATCACTTGTTTCGAGCACGTGTAGCCGAACCCATACAAGCGCAGGGCTTACCAATGCGAGGAATGCCTCAGGGGCCTTTTTGAAACACTTCATTTGTAGTGTCAGTTTGTTTCGCGCAGGAATTGTAACGGTGGTTTTTTGACCGAGTGTACATAAACATTATGGGATATCTCAGGCTGGGATATAAGAAAAATTCAAATAAAGGCAATACAGTCATCCTGGATAACTGACAATTTAAGGAGAACAATTCTGAAGTCTAATCACACAATGAGAAGGTTACACCATCTGCAGTTAATGAAGACAGACATGATCCTGGAGTAAAAGAAAAAATTTCTCCATATTTTAAGCTTCAGAAAATTATTTGTTTTATCAACATATACCATGAGAACAAACGACAGACCATGACATAAGAGAACATTACAGGATATATTACAGTACAATTATGTATGTTATATTGCGGCAACCTGTGGTGTAATGGGTTTGATCCCCAGGCAGGGTGAAACTATGGGCAACTTTTCACACCATTTGCCTCTGTCTACCCAGCTGTAATTGGGGACCTGGATGTTAATTGATTTTCGGATCGTGTTCCGGCGTAATGGTTAGCCAGTGCAGTTGGCGAGTTGTCCGGTCTTCTCGGATTATTCCTTGACACTGGGTCATGCAACTTGTTAACTTAGGGTGTGGTTGTTGTGTTGGCGACAGCTTCTACACTTTAAACAAATTCACACCTAGGTGGCCCTAGGGCCGGCCATCCTCGTTACATGAGGAGCAACCATTATACAGTATTATATAATATGTTATGTTATGCTATGCTATGTTATGTTATGGATGTGAAGAAGGATATGCCCTACCTGGTGTGTGTGGCAGTCTATCGTTGACCCAGGACACCACTGTATAACACTTCCTCAACAGCAGCTGTAACTCCTCACTCTGACCAACAGCAGCGTCGGCCACCACCCACGGCCTGGAACACAACACAAAACTTCCTCAAGTCGGGTCTCACCAAAAAGTTCATTAATAAAGAAAAGTTAGACCTTCATGATTACCTTCACTGACAACACATTATGATTAAATAAACAATGGAAACATTCAATTTTCCTACAAAACTATAAATCAATGTTTTATAAGACTATTTCTTGTAAAGATTTAAAATATTTCTGAACAAATTACTGGAGCAGTATCTCCGTTAGCCTGAATCCCTCCTAACTAGATCTCTCCAATAGCTGGAATTGAAATTTTCTGAAAAATTCCGGGTTTGGGAACAATTTTCCGAGGGGCACATTTTCTGGAAAATTCTAGAAAAAAATTTCTGGGTACTCATAAAATTCTGGAGGTGGGGGGATCTTTCTTTTCTGGGTTTGAGAGATGAAAATCAGGTGCATTTACTGGAAATTCCGAGAGATTTTTTCCAGTAGGCGGAAAATTACGGGGATGGGGGATTTTTTTCCAGGTTCGAAAGATGATGTAATGTGCAATTTCCAGAACTTCCGAGAATTTTTCCCGGTGCCCGAAAATTCCAAGGAAGGGATTTTTTTTCCAGACTTGAGAGTCGTCTCATTACCCTGATATCTCTCATTCCCGGTGCTCTGAACCAATTGTTCTGGCCATTGGAAATATCACTGTTTACACATCTATTTCTGTAAGGAGTTGTGAAGTTCACTGTAGGAGCACAATAGAGCAAGCTTAACTGGAAATATGGCTGTAAATGAACCATTGAACTCGTGAGGGTAAAGATGAATAAAAAGACCTGGATACAGAGGTCTAATGTCTCCACTAAGTGAATTAAAATTAATTATCAACAGGGGAAACTGCAGCCAAGAACATAAGGAAGAACCTTGATACTGAAACAGTTTACTTTGCCAGAAAAATACAGATACTGTACCAGGTGAATAATAATAACAATACTGACATGGCTGAGCCTACTGAGAGCCTGAGCTCTCTTAGTGGCACCTACATAACAAACTTATATACGAAAATTTGATCAGATAAATGGTACATATTGCATCACAACTAAACTTGTTAAAAATGGACAAAATACATAAGATGAGCATCACTGTTTTATTCTAAAAATTTTTACCTTGGGGACACTGAGCCTGGTGAGTATAATGGTAGTTACAGACCAACAACTACTGTATATACATTTGTTAAGGATCTGCCTATATTTACCTAAGTCACAAGTTATAACTCCATAATAATCAGGTAAAATAATATGCTGAATAATTACATGAACCAATTCACAACGTGATTATTGACTGTGTTGAACCCTTGCCTACGACCAGAAGTGGAAATCAGTACTTGCTCACTACAGTATAATGTGTGCAATTACCTGTTATCCCGAGGCCATACCTCTTAGACGGATAACTTCAAAACTTATGATAAAAGCCTTGGTTAATTTTTTATCCAATATGGAATTCATAAATATGTGCAATCAGATCAAGGTAGTAATTTTACACCAGGATTGTTTAGGCAAGTAATGCAACAGATAAGGATCAAACAGAATTTGGCTACGGCATACCATCCGGAATCTCTGGGAGTACTAGAACGTTTTCACCAAACTCTGAAAAATATGTTAACAAAATATTGTATTGAGCAGAGAGGTAATTGGGATGAAGGTATTCCTTATGAGTTGTTTGGAGTTAGAAGTAGTTATTAAGAGACACTAGGATTTTCCCCTTTTCAACTGATTTTTGGTAATGAGGTTAGAGGAAGTTTGGAAAGAATCTTCGATAAGCACTGCAGACCATCGACTAACATGACCTCAATATATGAACAAATTTAAAGAACGATTAAGTAAAGCTTTGAGAAGTTGCTGAAGGACATCTTGATCAATCTCAAACAAAAATGAAAAAGTTGCATGATATCAACACAATAATTAGAGAATTTAAGCCTGGTAACAATGTATTAGCTTTTCTACCAATGTATCAGAGTCACCTTAAGGTTAAGTTTTGTTGTCCCTACCATGTGAAGAAAAACTCAGGTGAGGTGAACTATGTGATTGAAACTCCAGGAAGGCGAAAGAAGGAAAGATTAGTACATGTTAACCCTTTGAAGCCATATTACATAAGAGATGATAATCCTGTATGTAACTTAATATTGCCTGATACCTTACCAGAAGTAGAAGAGCATCAGGATTTCTCTATTGATACTGGAGTGCCCCTGACAAAGTCTATAATGTTACTTGACATAACCACTAAATTATCCCACCTCCCATAGGAGCAGATGAAGGATGTATATCATTTATTGGAGGAGTTCTTGCAGCTCTTCAATGACGTACCGCATCCCTGTACATTGGTGGAACATGACGTGGTGCTGACAACAACGCTCGACCCATTAAGCAAACACCCTACCGAGTTAACCCAAGAAAACGTTTGTCTTCAAAAGGAAGTGGAGTGGCTTAGTGGAACCTAGTATGAGTGAGTGGGCTTTCCCATGTATACTGGTATCGAAACCTGATGGTAGTCTTCGGTTGTGTACTGATGCAAGGTAAATGACATTATTAAAGGTGATTATTTCCCTTTATTAAGGATAGAGGATATAATAGACAATGTTGGAGGGCAAAATATGTAACCAAGTGAGAGCTAAAGATATTTCGGCCTTCATAAGTCCTAGTGGGTTTTATCAATATAATGTTACACCATTTGGTATGAAAAATGCCCCAGCCACCTTTCAGCGTCTCATGAATATTGTTACTACAGGGTTGGAAGGAGATGATACATATCTGGATGATTTAGTGGTATAAGGTGACACTTGGGACCAACACCTGTCTAGATTGTGAGCACTTTTCCAGAGGCTGGTGGAGGCAAGACTAACAGTATATCTGGTGAAGAGAGAGTTTGGCCATGTGAATATCACCTACTTGGGACATGTGAGTGGACAGGGACAGGTTTCCCCGGTAGCTGCGAAGATGGAAGCAATCCAGAGTTTTCCCGCCCCAACTAATCAGAAGGATGTTATGAGGTTTCTTGGTATGGCAGGTTTTTACAGAGGATTTTGTCCTAATTTTTCATAAGTTGCAGCTACCCTGACAGACCTGGTTAGTCCCAAGAAGCCCTTCCACTGGTCACCTGAGTGCCAGGCTGCCTTCAACTGTATCTGCAGTCTCCTGTTCTCTACTCCAGTACTACAAGCTCCTGACTTCATTTACCCTTTCAACATCCAAGTGGATACTAGTGATGTGGGAGCAGGAGCTGATCTTCTACAGTTAGGAAAGGACATGGTACTACACCCAATGCCACATGTTTATAAAGTTCAAGCAACACCCAAAAAATTATAGCACCATAGAGCAAGAAGCACTTGCATTAATCCTGGCACTTGAAAAATTCAATGTCTATCCAACTTGCTCGAACCAACCAGTGACAGTATTTAGTGACCACAACCCACTTCAGTTTGTGAATAAAATGAAGAACAAAAACCAATAGATTAAGGAGATGGGACTTAACACTTCAGCCATAGAGTTTAGTAATTAAGCACATTAATGGGAAAAGACAATTTGTTTGCAGATGTTTTATCCCGAGTAGACACCTGAGATGGTTCTGGTTTCAATAAAAGCATTTTTGTTTCCCTCATATGCTTTCTTTTAGGGGGGAAGTGTTACGACAGTCACTATCTATTGGTCAAGTAAAAAGGTGGTGAGGACTCCCAAGAGTGGGCACACTGGACAGTCTTGATGCTTCAACTCATTCATTCGAGGGTTGTATGGTTGCCAGCTGTGGGTCTCACCTTCTCCACATTGTTATTGTATTGTGTGAACTGTCTTCACTTATGTTATAAGTCTTCCTGCTCCAGTCAGGTTAAGTACTGTATACAGCATTGTAATTGATTTAATTGTAGGTTTAACAGTGTTGTTTTGACAACGGGTAAATTCTTGAATTGAACAAACTTCCTATTTAGTTATTTTGTCATTATGTTTCTTGTAGGCAGCTACCAAACAGGGAGGTACTACCGCCTGGGAATATATTGGAAGCATAATGTATTGTCTAATGGTAGACCCTGCTGCCATATGGCATCACGAAAATTGTGACCAAGTCCCAGGTTGCTGATCTGACTTTCTGCCTCATTTACACACAATTGCAGGGTCTCAATTGTTTCTCTTACTATTGACAACACAACATACATATATTGTTTCTCACTCTTGATCTTTTTTCCATTTTTGTATTTCTTTATGGTTTATTATTATTATTATTATTATTATTATTATTATTATTATTATTATTATTATTATTATTATTATTGCAGTGTTGTTATTATTATTATTGTTATCATAATCATTTAAAACAAAATAATTTTTTTTATTTTTTATTTAAAATTTACTTATCTGAATTACTATTATTGTTATTATTATTATTATTGTTATTATTATTGTTTTATCCTCTTCACTTTTTATTACATTTTCGACCCCCCAGGCATTAAGAACCAAGCGGACTGTGAAGAGCTGCAGAAGGACCTCTGTGGGCTCCAGGAATGGTCAAAGAAATGGCTGCCGAGATTCAAAGTCATGAAGTGTAAGAGGATGCACCTGGGGCATACCAATGGTAAGAAGGCGTATCATATGTCCCAACGGGATGAAGAAACTGCACTAGTTGAGACAATGTGAGAAGAACCTAGGTGTGTATGTTGACAATGAGCTGAAGTTCTTGGGCCACTGTGAGAAGAAGGTAAATCAGGCAAATAAATTATTGGGTCTTATAAGAAGGTCGTTCAGATATCTAGACGGTCCGTCCCTCGTAACGATCTTCAGGAGTGAAGTGCTTCCCCATCTGGAGTACTGTCACCCCATCTGGTCCCCGAGATATGCTAGGGACTGTCAGTTGGTTGAAAATGTTCAAAGGAGGGCCACCAGACTGGTGCCTGCACTTCGGCACCTCAGCTACCCTGAGAGATTGGAGCGCCTGAACTTGCGTAGCTTATATTACAGACGGTCAAGGGGGGACCTAGTTGAGGTGTATAAGCATCTCAGGGGGCACTACTCAGTTGAGTGTCCTTACTTGGAGCTGGCGGACGCTCGCCCCACAAGGGGTCACAGCTCAAGATTGAAGAAGCCGCAAGTCCAGAAAACTGTGAGGGCAAACTTTTTCGGAGTGAGAGTTGTGAACTCTTGGAACAACTACCAGAGAGTGTTGTGACGGCACCGAGTGTGAGCTCTTTCAAGACAAGACTTGACCAACACTGGAGCGGGTTCAGGTACATTCAGGAGCCGGTGCATGCCCAGTATTTGCCAACAGTGCGTGACAGAGATGTGACCGATCGCCCGGGCGGCTAACGAGCCGATCAGTGGCGAAGAGGATAAAAGGAAAAGGCCCTGATGTTGACCTGTGCCCGGGTGGGCTAATCCCCATAAAAAAAATTTGAAATCGTCTCCATACACAGAACTAGACTTCCTTGCTGCTACACAGTAACCCACACACGGTCCTGAGTATGGTTCAAAACACACATCTGCTCGCTAATGTACTGGCCGCTGACCATTCAAAACACGAAGTTATATTAGTCGAGAAGGAAGAGTTAACTTAACAATCTAATGTGCACAAAACAAAACCTCTCGTATCTTAAAACATGATTTTGGTTCATTCACTCCTCCCTCCCCCCTGGCCTCCTATAACACATCAGTTTATGAGTTACCAGACACAGTTTGAGTCAACATACCATTGTTTCTGGAAGTCGAGGAATCCAGTGTACAGTAAGCGAGCCTCCTTAACAGTAACATCCCAGAAGTGTTCCAGTGTACTGAGGTTATTGGGTTTATTAAAGTCAAACTGCTCCAGCTGTCTCACCAAGATCCACAACTGGTCATAAAGATCTGCAGAACTGACCTGGGGGACCTGAATTCCTGGTTTCCCATATTCAGTCTGAAAAATAATATTCAATATATATAGTTAAAGTATTACTCATGAGACATCTACATTATCTACTATGGATATACATAAATAATATCAACCTCTACTATTAACTATCAACATCATTAAGAAGTGTGCTTTGGTCACAAGGTAGTAGGCAGCTACCAAACAGGGAGGTACTACCGCCTGGGAAAATATTGGAAGCATAATGTGTTGTCTAATGGTAGACCCTGCTGCCATATGGCATCACGAAAATTGTGACCAAGTCCCAGGTGGCTCAACTGACTTTCTGCCTCATTTACACACAATTGCAGGGTCTCAATTATTTCTCTTACTATTGACAACACAACATACATATATTGTTTCTCACTATTGATCTTTTTTTATTTTTTTATTTCTTTATGATTTATTATTATTATTATTATTATTATTATTATTATTATTATTATTATTATTATTATTATTATTATTATTATTATTATTATTGCAGTGTTATTATTATTATTTTATTTTAATTTTTTATTAAAAATTTTACTTATCTGAATTATTATTATTATTATTATTATTAAATTTTTGCCCCCCCCCAGGCCCCGATGTGGGTCAGTGACCTGTGCCCGGCAGGACTACTCCCCGTAAAAAAATAAAATAAAATATAGATCATATGAAGATTAATCTACCTCAGTTTATATCACCTGATGATTAACCACCCTAATACTAACCTAACCTAAACTATCCTAACTTAACCCCTCTGGGTAACATAGGGTGTTTCATCATCTGGTGAAATAAGCTGGGGGTGAATCTTCAGGTTATCCTTCATAAAATCTAATTCAGAATGATAAACTTATTATATTCATCCAACAAGAAACTGTATCACAAGTCAGATAGGCAATGTCCTGGTTGACCTCGAAGCTGTTGTAAGGTGGCAATGAAGGCCATGTTATTAGAGACAAAAGCCGGGCCTACTCCACCATCCCCATTTATAATTTTCGAGTTACTTTACCCTTTATTTTATATTTGACCGGTAATTATATAGGACTAACCCGCGGGCGAAATTGATTTAAAACAATAATAAAAACGCCGGATTTTCATTGCTATATTATTGTGGACACTTGTAATTATTTTTTAAAATAAACGCAACTTAACATTTGTGGTTATGAAGAACAGACCTAACCAACCAAACCTACCCAACCTTACCTAACTTCCCGGTATATTAAACATAAAGAACTTACTATGATATGGTGACATTTGAGTCATTCTCTGGACGTGAGATGATACGGCCTCATCAGCACTGTGCAGCCCGGCGGGTTAGTCCTATATATTAACCATTTGACCAATCAGCTTAAATGTTGAAGTGACGTCATAGTCACGTGCACCAATCAGCATGAGTGCAGATGTGACCTAATACTTGTGCGCTAATCAGCATTCACAGCCAGTTGGAGGTGTTTTCAGTGTCTAAACTACACGATAGGTACCGGACATTAAAAAAATACAAAAGTTGTGGGCAATTAAAAGCAATAATACCCAGTTTTCTTATTCTTTATTATAATTAAAGTGACTATTAGCAAAATTATCCCTTGCTTATCACTGATAAGAGAGAGCTACAGCATGAAATTGCATTCCTTTTCGGCCCGACTAATTACCCAAATGTAGCCGCAATTAAGTCAAATAATGGTCCTACATGAATAAATCGGACTGCCAATCACTTCTCGACTAGTATTTGGTGTCACAAAGTAAAAAAAAATTGGAAAACTTACTTTAATCTGAGTTAATAGATCGCGTGCATGTACCGAGGGAGCGAGTAATTACCCAAATGTAGTCGCAATGAAGTCAAATGATGGTCCTACAAGCGTAAATCGGGCTGTGAATCACTTCTCGATTATTATTTGGTGTCATAAAGTCACAAAAAATTGGTAAACTTAATTTAATCTGAGTTGTGTTAGGTTAGGTTAGGTTAGGTTAGGTACATGCACTCGATCTATTAACTCAGATTAAATTAAGTTTACCAATTTTTTTTGACTTCGTGACACCAAATAACAGTCGAGAAGTGATTGGCAGTCCGATTTATTCATGTAGGACCATTATTTGACTTAATTGCGGCTACATTTGGGTAATTACTCAGCACCTATATTTTGATACTAATTTAACAAAACTAACCTAAATGGTGAAATAAACTGGGGTCTAATCTTCAGGTGATCACAAGAATTTAACACCACACAAACTTGAAATTTGGAACACATTTTTTCAGCAATTATTCAACATTTATTCATTATACACGTAACTGTAAACCAAAGAGTGTGAACTAAACAACACTGGACTGGAGCAGGTTCAGGTGCCAGTGCATGCCCAGTACGTGCCAACAGTGCGTAATAAAGACGACCGACTGCCCAAGAGGTTAACGAGCCGATCAGTGGTAAGGCGAAGAGGATAAAACTAATAGTGAAGTCACCTGAAAACTGAGACACTGGTAGACAATTGGTAGAGGTAGACCATCCCCTCACTAACAGATGGCGGTAAAATAGTGAAGTAGAGCCCTTTAACTGGTTTGTTTATTATTACCCTAAGACTATAATAAGAAAGATAAGAAAGCAAGGCGAAAACCGCGTAGGCCACATAGCATAGTTGGTGGCGGAGTCAGCGGATGGCGGTAGTGTGCAAGGGTGGGCGTCACCATCACCTGTGTGCCGTGTACATACATACAAAAAAAAAACAGATCACCCTGAGCTTGTGTTACGTTTTCACGTTGCTATATATCATTGATCATATAGAATTTACTGTGTGATATTGTATGTGTGTGTGAATGTGTACACATTAAGAACGTCAAGGCAAGGACGTCAAGGTAATAATATTACCTTGACGTCTTTGCCTTGACGTTCTTAATGTGTACACGCACACAAACACACACACACACATACAATATCACACAGTAAATTCTAGATGATATATATAGCAACGTGAAAACGTTAACACAGCTCACTCCGCCGGTTACCTTGGAAACATGGACACGCTACCTTGGGCTTTTAGTTAGCCGCGTTGCCAACAGATGGCGTTGATCAAAGCTCAGTGGCTCACTTTTTTTATTGGTAAAGCAAAGACTATAATAAGAAGACAGGAAAGTAAGGCAAGAACCGTGTAAGCCACATAGCATATAGTTGGCCGTATGTGGCCGGGAATTGTTATACATGGGGCCTGCTGAACGACGCTCAAAATTCGGGCTATGCGACTGGAAGTTTTAACCGCGAGCAAGGGACTCGTGCGACTTGCCGGTGGACGTTGATAGCTGCCGCTCCACTACAAACCATGACGTCATCCCGGGCTTGTTCCACGCTGAGTGCTCCCTAGTTTTCTTTGCACAGCCCCAATTATTGGTAAGTTTTATACATAATAACAGTATAAATTAATCGTGAATGTATGTAGAACAAGGTAGTTTATATAACAATGAATTATTTAGTCGTAATGTAAAAGAAAAGAGCAGTGCCGGATTAACCATGAGGCACTTGAGGCACTGGCCTCAGGCCCACCGACCCTAAGGGGCCCCCAAATCCAAACATTCTCGAAGTTGAAGCATATAAAACATGAACTTCGTTCAACGATATCCTAGCAACGTCTCAAGTTTCTGTCTCTTATGAACATTGAATGAGTTATTTTGCAGAAGCTTAATAATGATGAAATCATTGATAAATTTTGGTATATATATATATATATATATATATATATATATATATATATATATATATATATATATATATATATATATATATATATATATATATATATATATAACCCTGAGAGTAGGGGGCCCCAAGTTGATCTGTGCCTCAGACTCCTATTAAGCTTAATCGGGCCCTGGAAAAGAGTGTGTTATCGCAACTCGTCTGTTGCTACCTCAAAACTGCATCAACTGATAGCTACTCGGCTACGCCCACTACCGCAGATATTTCAGATAACTGCACTGGAATTACGATGGTCATACACATTTTTATAACAAACACGAGGGGATTTGTGCATTCATCACAGCTGTGTGTAGGGACAAGTTGCTTGATGACAAGCTTCGTCTGCTAGGGCCAGCAGAAAGCAAGGCTAGGTAGCATTTTGTTTACCTTTAATGGATAACCTACAACATATTTAGCTTTAGCCTATCACTGTGTCTATAATTAACTGCTACAATTAATACTTTTTTGAAATATGAGTGATTCTAGTCAAGTGGCAGGGAAAGGTTCTGTAATATACTGTAGGTATTCTGTTTCAGACCTGAAAGGAAACATGCCGCCTCCAGCAACAAAGAAGCGAAAAATTGCAGAAGGAAATCGCAAATTTAACCCTCTTTGGGAAGAGGAATTCTTTGTTATTGTAAAACAATATGAACTGTATTTGCTTACATTTGTGGAAACAAGTACCGTTCAAAGCTCACCAACATTCACACCACAGAACTTGTAAAGGCTGCTGTTACCAAGTTTAAACCAAATTTTGCTGAAATTGCAAATCATATCCAGGCTCAACCCTCACATTAGTTTTAGTATTGTTCTGTGTATCTGTATTTGGAATGTGAACCCTTATTTTGCATTGCAAAAAGCCAGCTTTATGCTACTTTATAACAACAGCTGAAAGACATTTTTATTCTAAAAATATCACAAGGCTTTTTTTTCTGCTCTACAATATATCGTAAAGTACTTTTCTCTCTTGTTTTTTTGTATTTCAAATATGTATGTTGTTTGTAATAATTTTTCTTATAGTAAAATATAGTCCTGCATTTCTGCTTGCTCATTCAATCCTGTGGAATGCGTTGTTGACTTTTGTTGTCTGAGTACAGCTGCAGCCGATCGCTGATTAATTATTTGCCAGCTGATGTGGTCGACTAGTATAAAAGGTTGCGGACCCATGGTTTACATGAAGACCGGGACATTTAACCATGATTGGGCGTCACCATCACCGGTGTGCCGTATGCACAGGTACAAAAACAGATCACCCTGAGCTTGTTTCACGTTTTCACGTTTCTATACTGTATATCATTGATCAGATACAATTTACTGTGTAATATTGTATGTGTGTGTGTCAGTGTGTATGTGTGCATGTGTACACATTAAGAACTTCATAATGTGTACACACATACAATATCACACAGTAAATTCTAGATGATATATATAGCAACGTGAAAACGTAAACACAAGCTCACTCCGCCGGTTACCTTGGAAACATGGACACGCAACCCTCACGCGCCCAGGGTCTTTAGTTAGCCGCGTTGCCAACAGATGGCGTTGATCGGAGCTCAGTGGCTCACGTTTTTTAATCGGTAAAGGTAGACGCTTTCCCGTCTTTCTTATTTTAGTCTTTGATTGCTACTGAGTGCTAGTCGAGGTTTTGTTATGGGGTGGAGCCAGGAATTTACCGAGATGGAGGAATAAGAGAAGAAGGATGAAGGAAGGAGGGAATGAGAGAGAAAGGAGACGGAGGAGGAAAATAATAAGGGAGGGGGATTGAGGTGGGAAGAAAAGAGAGAAAGAGTAGGAGGAAGGAGGGAAGGGACACACACACACACATATCGTATCCACTTTTTTGCCCTTAGTATCTATATCAGTTCTCGTGTATAGAACCAAATGCACAATGTGCTTGAATACTCTCACGCAAATGACGATAACAAAGTGTGCGGCCAGACATACTGCCTCACACGCCTGTACTCACGCATTTGTGAATAAGTTACCCTTTATGTATAGAACTAAACAAAGTGTATTGAAATACTGTGTAACATTCAGTGCCATAATATCCTGACCACGGGGGTTAATTATTATGGCCCGTTGTAAACTCTACTCTGTAATCCTTTTGCGTTACCGCTCACAGGATGGGTATGGGGTGCACAATAAAGTAGCTGCCGTAAGCGGCAAAATCAAAAAATCAAATCACATATCGTTTCTCACTTTTGATCTTTTTTCTTTTCTTTATTATATTATTATTATTATTATTATTATTATTATTATTATTCATCATTATTTATCATCATCATCATCATCATCATCATATTCATCATCATCATCATCATCATCATCATCATCATCATCATCATCATCATTATTATTATTATTATTATTATTATTATTATTATTATTATTACATCTTCGCCCCCCGGGCCCCGATGTGGGTCAGTAACCTGTGCCCGGGTGGGCTAATCACTGTAAAATACACACACATACACACGACGTCAAGCTGTACGCTTCCGAGGGGCTGTCTCCACCTTTCAGTCACTCACCTGTGGCGTCCTCCAAGGCACCAAGATGGGACCACTATGCTTCCTTATGCTTATCAATGATGCCCTAAGAGAAACCCCTGCTCGCTGGAAACATGTCGACGACTCCACCATTCTACTCCCGACTATACCGCCCTTCAGGACTTATTGAACAGTCTCCAAAACTGGGCCACCAACAACCACGTCACCATCAACCATACCAAGACCATGGTTATGCACATCAACCTCTCCTCCGACGTTGTCCCGCCCCCTTCCATTACTCTAGGTCCCAACACACTCCAGGTTGTAGATTCCACTAAGCTCCTCGGCGTCACCAAAGACAACAAACCAAATTGGAAACCAAACGTCAGTGAAGTTGTCAAATCCTCCAGTTTCCGTCTCCACCTCCTCCGCCGATTCAAGTCCCTCGGAGTTCCTGCGCCCGAGCTCCTCAGTGTTTACTCAACATTCATACTTCCCAAGCTCACCTATGCCTCCCCTACCTGGTCTTCCTCCCTAAATGCCACACAACGTAAACACCTAGAAAAAGTGCAAAAGATGGCATGCAAGATTATTCTCTCCCCTTCCTACTCCACATATCAAGAAGCGCTCAACACACTGACCCTTTCGACTCTCACTGACCATCACCACGACCTCATCTGCAAATTTGGTAAGAAGCTTCTGCACCATTCTCGACACCGGCTCCTATTACCACCTGAGATCCCTAGCCCGAGACTTGCTGTTCGATACCACAACCGCATCCAGCCCATACGAGCACGAACTGATCGCTATAAGAACAGCCCAGTCCCAACCATTGTAAAAATTATCAATAACTTGTAATCAACCAGTGTATTCACTCCCAGTAAATCCTACTTTTTGCACTGTCACTATGTTGAAATGCCCTGTAGTTTGAGCTTTTCCCCACCTAGTTATTATATATCTTATTTGTATCACTTATGTTACTTGTATATTATTTGTAAATCGAAACCCATTCCCCAATTATGTAACTGTATATTTTCAGCCTTCTGGCTGCTATGCTCTTTCAATAAACCGTTAATTATTATTATTATTATTATTATTATTATTATTATTATTATTATTATTACACACACACGAGGAGAACCTCACCCATGAGTATCACAAATGTCAGGGCACCTCAGGATATATATATATATATATATATATATATATATATATATATATATATATATATATATATATATATATATATATATATATATATATATATATATATATATATATATATATATATATATGTATATATATGCTGATAACCACAAGGAAAGAAGAAAACACGAAGTCCCCAAGTGCTTTCGTGTAATTCACATCTTTAAATAGTAGGGTCATTACCTAATACCTGACCATTGTGGACCTGGTCTCACCTTCTCTGTATATATACACCTTGTTTTGTACTTCTCTTCAGTCTGTACTCACCCCTGAAGATGTGAATTACACGAAAGCGCTTGGGAACTTCGTGTTTTCTTCTTTCCTTGTGGTTATCAGCATATACCTAGATCACGCGCACCTACAGTGATTTATATATACTCTGTATAAGAGACACATAAGACACACTATTACCCCACTCCACCACTGATAGTAATTATAATATTATGTTGAGGAGTGTTAGTAAATGTGGGTTGATTAAGAATTTACGAGGGAGTGTGAGTGAGGAAGGTCCCCTCCCTCCTAGGTACTGTACTCACCAGGGCCTTGATGACAGCTGTGGTCAAGTTAGAGAAGACAACATCAGGTGTGTGAGGGTGTAAGACATAGTGACACACCACCTCCACTACCACACTCACGCCCACACTCCTGTTACACGCACCAGCCGCCCACTCCACCCATGTTTCTTTCTGCTCAACCTGCCAACAGAGAACATGATGTTAAGTTGTTTTGTGTATACTAGAGTGGCTGACTATGTCATATATTTGAAGACACTATGTCAACATACAGGTGTTGAATGTATACACACACACACACACACACCTACTAATGTATGTGTTCATCAGGTCTAAATATAAGAGTGGATCAAGACCGTGAACATTTAGTTTCCTTTGAGTGAATAAATGATTAAGTCTGGTATATACTGGTGCACTGATTTTTACATTGAAATCCTACATAAAAGCCTCGATGTTGTATTTATGGCTGTTGGCAACACCCATGTGTTGGTCAACGAGAAATTCTTGCAGGAGAATCTTTAACAAATATATTGTCTTATACAGACAGGAACTACAGGGTGTCTACTGGCCAGACAAAAAATTCCCTGGTTTTTCCATTTTTTTTTGTGTAAATATGAAAAGTTCCAGGTACATTAACTCGGTATTTACTACGACAGAATAACAAAATTAGAAGTTTTCAGTAATATGTAAATACTATTGGGAAATTTAAAGATGATACATATGATAATAAGAAATTGAAGACCCATTCGTGACCAACTCCAAGCCAATCTGACAAAAAATATACAGCTCTGTTATTGAAGTATTAATTACACCTGTGATGTACTTAAGTCTTGATACATAACAATTTATTACATAATGTCAGTGGGGGCATAAGATAGTATATACCTCTCTACATATTTTCAAAAAATACAATATACATATATCCTTTCAGAAGTGTTAACAAGGTAGGTGGGTTAAAGGGACTGGGAGGCAGCCATGACCCATCACTATTATTATAGTCTTTCATGAGCGCAGCGTGACTGTGTGAGACTAATTAATTCCAACCAATGGGCGCTGACCCGATGGTGTTATTACAGAATAAAACCAGCGCCGTCCACTGGGGGTGTGAGTCATTGCTTCGGTCGACTGTCCACCCGGCGCTAAATTTAAGCAGCCGATTCTCTGCCGGGTCTCAATATGATAGGTCACTTACCCATCCTTTTTTTTTATTGCCACTGGCTACCGGACTGACTATTTTATTCAACCAGCTATGATCAGGATATTTTTTTCCACGGATCTCTGCGATTCACGTGGGTCGACCTGGACGTTCCAAAAAAGCCGTAAATCCGGCCCAAACCGAAAAATCACACCCCTGATCTACCTATAAGACTCATGATAAATATGCAGAATAATCCACTTAAATAAAGTCACTTAATTATAAGAACAATTCATCTCTGACAATACTCATCACAGAATTAATGGGTATAACAGTCCTATTATATTTGGTTATTTGATCACTAACATGAAAGATGACAGGTATACAAACAATTCAGTTATTGGAGTGGACTATTTACTGAAATTTGTTCCTAAAAATTTAATTATTTACCGATTATACTATTATATAGTACATTAATTTATGGTATAATGGCTGTCAAAATAGCAATATTTTTAAGTTGAACTGAATTCACATAAAATTCCAGGTTTATTTGTAAAATTCCCTGACTTTTCCAGACTAGTAGACATCCTGAACAAGCAAAGGTGTCCATAATGTTGGCAATAATAACCTCCAATTTATTTTCAAAATCAGACACAATGCTCAGTGTTGTCTTGTTTTCAGAGCAGAGATGTGCACAAACACCAACATTATACACGACACACTCACCAGGACGAAAGAGGTGGCGAAAGAGGTCAACTCTTTTAGCAGGAAGTCTGCAGTACCAACGGGTCCCTGACGGAGTAGCTGTAGAGGCGGGAAGTCCTCCTGGACAGTCATCAGTGAAGAAAGCGTCAGTTCCTCACCTGCTGACAGAAACAACACTTGTTCATCACAGGTAAACTTGTTGTACCTCTGTTCAGCTTTTGTCATCGACTATATCAACCCAGATTCTCAGATATTTAGGTTAACTTCTTTACCAAAAACTGAAGTTTTAATAAAACCTTAAGTTATGACACAAACACTGCTGTCAAAGACCTGTATCATCCACATTACACCGAGACTTTACTGAATACTATATAGAAGTACAGCATCTTTTATCCCCAACAGAGAAATGAATTAACACATGAATTTATAGTCACCAGACTCAAGTTGTTGCACATCCGTTAAAGTTGTGTTGTTCACGACAGGTGTTCATGTATGTACACATGCCTGAGGCAGATGTAATTTTTTCTTACCTCAAGAGTGAGTTGACATGTGCAGTATGTGACACTAGAGTTACTGACTGTTGGCTGTCATGAGCTACAAAACATAATAATTTACCTCTGAGGATGATGATTTTTAAAGCTTCATACGCTAAATACTGTATCCTTTAACATGAGTCTTTGACAATTGATTCAATACCTCATTAATCTATTTAATTACATGCTTGAAGTCTTGTGTCGACATTACGTAAATTTGTGCTGTATTTTTCTCCTAATGGGATTGATTAAACACTACAGTATATTAAAGTCTGTGTGTTCAGTAAACAATACATGTATACCATTATGAATGCTATTCATGTATCAAAGGCCATTTTAAGTTTGTCACATGAAGATGCTCTTTTAAACCTTCGATGATGACTAAAAAATCAATAAAAAATCAATGAATGAATTTGATAATCTAAGTCAAGAATTGTAAACAAGAGTAAGTTTCGATACCTTGTAGGAGGTGAGTGAGTGCAGTGGCGACAGTGTGGGTGTGGTACATGAGGTACTGCACCGTGCTGGCCACCTGCTGTGTCCCTACCTCCTTCCCCATCCATACCATCACCTGGTCCACCATTTCCAGCATCATCCTGCATAAGGCAAGTCAAAAAGACACGTTAATATCTGTAAAGTTTACTTGACTAAGCTACTGTTAGGTTAGGTTGTGTCATCACTGTCAGGATGAACTACATGTTTTGGTGTTTGTTAAGTTGTGATGAGGTTAGTTTAAGGTAGTGTTACCGAAAGCTTAGTTAGGGTTAAGCTTAGTAATAGTTAGATTAAGTTAGGTAGAGTTTATCATAGATAAGATTAAAAGTTAGTTGAAGTTGTAAGGTCAAGCTGGGGCTATTGTCGGTCAGCTGAAGTTATATTACTTAATGGTTGGTGTTGGGTACAGTTAGGTAATGTTACGTTGATCAAACATGGCAAGACAAGACTAGGTTTGGACAGGTTCAGTTATGTTAGGGTAAGTTAAGTTAGGTTCTCTTGGGATGGTAAGGTTAGGTTATATTAGGGTAGGCTCAGTTAGATTAGATTAGGTTCAGGTAGGTAAGGTTGCTTTAGGATAGGCTTGATTATCATCTGAGATCTTTTACCGAGATCCATTTGCTCTACTCCAAGTTTCTATGCTGTCAGATATATGACATGTACTGGCACAGACTTATAACATAAAGATAACAATTACTCTATGTAAACAACAAATCCAGTACTAAGACAGAACAAGTTTCCTTATGAATTAAAGTTACTACTCTCTATAAGACTAAAGATTTCAAGTACTGTGCTCTCTCTTTCTCTCTCTCTCACCTCATGTACATTTGGGGATTCACGTCCACCTCGGTAAAGGAGTCCTGGAATTCCTGTATGATGGTTGTCTCCCAGGATGTGGTGAAGACATCCAGGATGTCTCGAGGATCACGTGAGGTCAGGAGCCTAGAGAAGGATTTCACTAGACGGAGGGCGGAGCCTACGTCCACTTCCCCCGGAGAGAGGTCCTCAATCTGACCCAAGAAAAGGTAGGGTAAGTTAGACTGTATACAGTATTTACTTATTGGGCTGTTTGTACTGTACTCAGTTTCCTGTCTCAAAAGTAAACTTTGTTGTTCTGGTATTAAAATCAAGACACATGGCTTTGTTCCGCCACTCACCAGGGCCTTCACACTCTGGGTCAACTGTGTGTCGGAGGTGAGCTCATCAGTTATGGCGGTGAAGTTTTCACAGAAGTAACGCTCAAGGCCTTGGACGTCCTTCTTGATGGTCTCCAGCTGGGACCAGGATGCTGGGAGGTCACCCACAGTGGAGGCCGGAGGGAAGAGATCAGTGATGGTAGTGTCACTGCAGGGGTAGTAGCGCCACGCCGTCTCATTGGTCAGGAGTGCCATCATGTTCTGTTGTGGAAGAGGTTGCTGGGTTACAGTACAATAAAGGCTCTGGTCTCCCCAAAACGCCAGGGAACTCAACACAACATTTGACTGTATCAAAGTTTTTGATAACTAATAAGAAAAAGCATCTGATAATATATAAACACACAAACTTTATCTTATAGATGAGTCATGGTTTTCATTCCATCTTTAAGTTTGTCTTTCCCATTCAATGACATCTTACAGGTCCCATTCTATCCCTATTGCATTTCTGCCCCTCTCCCTCCCCAGGTCTCCCCTACTAACCGTGGTAACACCGGTGATCCCCCAGAGGTAAGGGATGGCGAGGAGGCGTGGCAGTACTCCCACCTGCTTTACAAGAGGAGTGGTGTAGGGGCACCCACCTTCACACCACGCCCAGGGGTCACCCGCACCTGTAGCACAAACATACAACACTTAGCTCCTCACACACAGGTAGATATATAATTTAAACTGTACCACAAAACAGTGAGAGTACAAGCAGCATACACCAGCTTGTGAGGTACTTACTGTACACCTTGTCGAGGATGTTGTAGGAGGCGTTGAGGACCCCCACCAGCTGAGGGAAGGGAGGAGCAGCCATGACAGTAGGGATCTCCAGCACATCATACACATTTTCCACCACCTCCATCCTGCAGGACGGTCAACACAAGTCACTGCCAGTTAGCACAACATGAAAATACCATATACAGAAAATCTCTATTGATGACCCGTTAGATGCAACACCCCATCTAACAGACTATAAGGAGAGAGAAGTCCGTTATATGTTGACCTAAAGCTTTAAGTAAGGCGGCCTCTGTGTGTTGGTGTTTGTATGATAACTCTACAATGGTAATGATGGTGGCATTATTAAGGTCACCCTGGCATACCCTAGTCAAGCTATACTGTTGGGGTCAAGAGGTCACTTAGTGCAAATCTGCACTACGGGTGTGGGTGAGCAACTCGCCTGAGGGTATTACTGTACTCACGATAAGGGCAAGTACCAGCAACAGTCATGACAAGATACACTTGAGTTCTGCTAATGTGGTTGTTGTTACTTATCAATCATACACTCAGGGATAATAAACCACATTGTTTTTATAGCTACTTTGTTTTGAACAGTTAACATAAACAACACTTATAATATTCTCCCCACTAAAACGACTGCCATCTTTACAGCCATCTTCCATAATATATATATATGGCTTATATGATAAAAGTCGGCCATCAACTCACGCATCCTTTGGCAACACGGTGAAGAGGAGCTCCTTCAGGTGTTGGCTGAGGAGGACATCACTAGCGACCCACGGGTGTTGGGTGACGGCCGATATTTGTATGATGGAGTGTAGAGTTGATGCCGCCAGCCCTGGGGAGTGTACGGGCTGGGTTATTGCACCTGGCTGGCTACACCCTACTGTTACACCCTACACAGTACATTTGCAAAAATTCCCTGTACTTAAACAAAAGATTAACGGGAAACTGATAATCTGTATAAAAAAAAGACAAATTATTTAATAGATTTACTTATTAATTTGTAATGAAAAGTTAAAACAGGAGTTATGTGAGACAGGTAATTAACCACACCTGGCAGTAGAGAACCCAACCTAACCCAACCAAAACAAACCAAACCAAACACAACACAAACGAACCCAACCAAAACTTAACCTAACCTAACTTAACCCAACCTAACCCAACCCAAACTAACCTAGCCCAAACTAACCTAACCCCACCCAATCCAACCTAAACCCAACCCAACCCAACCCAACCCAACCCAACCCAACCCAACCCAACCCAACCCAACCCAACCCAACCCAACCCAACCTAACCCAACCCAACCCAACCCAACCCAACCTAACCTAACCTGCTGTAGAAAACACTGACCAGTTAGCCTCTCCACAGACCGGGAATCCGTGAGAAGGCGAATGAAGTGGGGATTAATTCTTTCCAGATCCTCAACTAATAGGATGTTGCTCACTTGGTTCAGGTAGATCCTCGTCCTGAAAGATACGATGTTAATTTACTGGTGTGTGTGTGTGTGTGTGTGTGTGTGTGTGGAAGGAGGAGAGTGGGGCACATGGATGGCAGGGGTTAACTGATGGATGGCAGGGGTTAACTGATGGATGGCAGGGGTTAACTGATGGATGGCAGGGGTTAACTGATGGATGGATCAATGACTAGATCAACAGGTAGAGAGAACTGATGGATTCGTGTTCACGAAAATGGTGAGGAAGGCATTGATGAACGCCGAAACATAGATAGATAGATATTTAACTAGAGATAACAACTAGAAGTATTGGTAATATACAGGAAACACACAAATGATGTAATCGGTGTTTTAATATCAGTAAATATATATTTTTTTATCTTAAAATGACGTAGCCACACAACAAATATATATATATATATATATATATATATATATATATATATATATATATATATATATATATATATATATATATATATATATATATATATATATATATATATATGTGTGTGTGTGTGACCTGTATAGCCTTCACTGACCTAACTAAGACCTTACTCCGGCCCAACAGGGACGCTCTTGTGGACACTCGCCGTTTTGTACCCATTGCCATTGTGGGCAACCCACGATGGCATGAACTGGTGTCTGCAACAGCACCCAGTCTGAGTTCTTCCCCATCCAAACAGGGTAAAACAGGGATGTACTGGCCAACTCCTTTCCATTTTCTCAGCCTTTTGCCAATTTAGTCTATGGACACCGGGTGAAGGGTCTTTTCAACATAAGACGACTCCAGGGAGGAACAAAGATGTCGGCAGCTTCCATTACTGAACTTCAGTATGCAGAACTCACTCTTGTCGCTCACACTGAATGTACTTACGGAGATCCTGAACACCTATACAGATGCTTATATACTTCGCCTGAGGTGAATGTACGTAAGATCAGATTCTCTTTCAGCCTTGGTTCAGCGACACCACCATCATGGCTCATTACATCCTCCAAGTTCGCTGGGAAGACAAGAGAACAAATGCCAGATTTCGTGACACCAACTGTAGGAGATTTGAGGCTACCATTATCCATGAACAATTACGGACTGGCCATGTTGCCGCATGGACGACAGTAGACTCGAAGCAAAGCATTTTTTCAGTCACCTAACGAATAGTAAACGTAATCCGGCGGGCAACTGATAAGTATAGGCTTTAAGACAAACCTGGTGCCAACGACCCCCTCACCTGGAGTCGATTACCCATATCGTAACGCTTGAGGAGCACCACACGAGGTGTCAATACTTTCGAATTAGCCTGACTGCATACCGAGGCAGACAAACGCCAACACCGGAAAGACGCTGCCGCCGCCCTCCTGCACTAGATGCAGCCTCCACATGCAACATCTGGACGACTCTGGTCCCATATCGCCCTCTTTACCCTCAAAACTCAAACGAAAGTGAACATCTCTAATAATTCATATTTCCATTTCATAGCTAGATGATCGTCATACCGATTCAGCATAGCGCAGTTGCAGTAAGTAGTAGTAGTAGTAAGTAGTAGTAGTAGTAGTAGTAGTAGTAGTAGTAGTAGTAGTAGTAGAATTTGAAAAAATAGCTAAGCGCAGGAGGTGGGCGCTCGAACTGGTTAACTACGTCGATAAGGGCAAATGGTTTCAGTCTTAATTTCAGATGCCACTCTATTGTTTGGGCGTTATCGCAATAGTAGGTTTGCCTCCCAATGCGTGTGTTTTTCTATGACGGCGATCACGCCATGGTGCAAGAAGGGCTCATATGCATGAGGCATGACGAGGTGGTGATCTCAGCCAATATGAAGTGAAACTGCTGAACGTCATGGTGGAACCGACCTCCACTGGATAGATCTTCAAAACACATTCACTAGAAGCCCGTGTGGACGTCAGTGCTCGAGGATTCTGGACGCGAATACAGCGAGCTTTTCGACATCAGGATTTTGATCCCATGGCGCATGTCACCGTAACCTAGCCTCGATGCTGCACATAGGAGGAACAAAACGACAAAGAGGGCATATGGGGAGAGAATTCAAATCGTTGATCAAGGCAGCTTCACTCTCTAGTGTTCACAACCTCTGGTGGGATGGATCCGCGAAGATGTTTTCACGCCAGACTCGCGGGGGTGATCTCCGAACAGAAAGCCGAAGTTATGTTACAGCCTGGATGAGATGTCGACTGTCCTTCTCGTCGTCTTTCTGTTTCTTGGCGCACGAGAGCTTTTCTCATCCGACAACTGCTGCAGATATTGACTATGAGGCTACAGTCACTGAATGCAGCATAGATCTGCGGCTCAACTAATTCAACACAGATAGGATAGCTTCTTATGTATTAGGATATTTAATATTAAAGTAATTGAATGGTGGCGAAGGTGTGGCTATTGGGAGGCTGGAGGCCACATTATAAAAAACAAAGTTGTAGTAGTAGTAGTATTGTGTGTGTGTGTGTGTGTGATAAATAAATGAATAAAAATGAATACGAATGAAATAAATAATAATGAATGAATAAATAATAATAAACACAATAGAGGTCAAATTTACAGAGTTTTGATGACATGTTTAAGGAGTTGAGCATCATCTTGGAAGGCCTTGAGCTTGTTATGTTCAATAGGCGGTAAGCGAGACAGAAGATCATCAATGCCCTCTATAATGGATCTCCTCGTCCTGATGGTAGTAGCTCCTGCACCCTCCTGGGAGTGATCATCAAGCTTCAGTAGCTCGTGGATCACCCCAGACAACTTCATGATGCTCTCAAGAACCTGGGATGGCTTGGTCGGCTGCTGGGAGTACATCTGAAGGAGAATTGTTTTAGGAATGATTTACTGACATGCTCATTTAGATTTAATTTCCTCCATATAATATGTGGGGTAACTTTAACCTGACTTGGAGACTCACCTGACCCATTTCTGATTGGTTAAGCGGTGTCCTCAGGAGTGCTGTGATTCGCTCAAGATCTCTAGCCCCGCCCTCACTACAGAACTTGGCTCAAAATCCACCAATCAGCATCGTTCAAATCGACCCACGAAGACCTGCTACAAGCCCACGTCGTGAGTCTGTCTTCTGTTATTAAGTCCTGAAAGATGATAGACAAGTGACTATACACACCAGGGCGGATCCAGGCATATCAAAAGGGGGGGATCCAAGAAGTTGTGGGTGGGGGAACATAGCTCGCCCAACCAATACTGCATTAAAGAAAAAAGTATTAGAATTTTCTGATAAAGGGGCCTGGACCCCAGGTCCACCATGGATCCGCCCTGCACATATATTTTCTGTCAAATATACTGTAGATATTTCACGTATAATCTGACAATTAGATCCCAGCTTAATTCACCTGATGATTAACTACCCTAACCTGGCCAACTCTAATCTAACCATGCCTCACTTAACATAGCCTTATCTGACCTGACCGGATCTTATCTAACCAATCCAATTTTACCTAACCTAGCCTTACCTTCTCTACTTTAACCCACTACTAATGTTAAAGCTAACCTAACCTAACCTAATTCTTCAGCTTGTGATTGAAAACTTTAAATATAAAACGGATTAAATTCATCTAAAATCTTTCACATTGACATTAAACAAAAGCTGTTGGAAATATCTCCCTGTGAGAGCATGGGTTAATTAACTACCTTACCTGGACGAGGGAGAAGTTGGTGAAGGAGGCGAGGACGGTGAGGGGAGGGCGACGGTGGCAGGTGAGGCGAGGACCTAACCATCGACAACTGAACTGCGTGTGTGAGGGAGTTGACAGTGATGAGTTATTCCTTTCAGTTATTGACACTCACTCACACACACACACTCACTCACTCACTCACTCAATCACATTTACACAGATATAAATCAACAAATAAACATACAGGTACACGTATATACTCACACAGATGCAGACACAGGTACACACACACATACACATACATGAAACTGAGATATACACATACAAATATCACTGTAGGAGATGAAACAAAACAACCCTGTATCTTCGACTGTAACCTAGGGGTCCTCTTCACAACAACTAATACAGAGGCGTAGCTTCAATATATTATTTACAATACCTCGGCTTCCACCTCTCATCTACACTGTCAAAAAATAAATAAAATAATAATAATAATGATCACAACCCACCCAACAATTGTACTTGATAAATAAGTCACCTAAAGATAAACAATATAGTTGTCTGTTACCCCAACAATGTTTTATTTTTTTATTTTTTTTATTTTTACCCCAAATTAAAAAGTGAAGGTAAACTGTACTGTAGATTGTAATTGGCTGTCATAAAGTGTACATTACAGTGTTGTGACAGGAGGAACTAATGTGCTAGGTTAACTGGACTTAAAGATGTCATAAGATAGTTTCAGCTGTATTAAAATATGCTAATGAGTTGGGTCTTGCCATAAACTGGAATGATTAATCCACAATGTGCAAATAGGGGGCGCCGGTGGTAGAGCGGTACCGCTCTTGCCTCGCAAGAGAAATGTCACGAGTTCGATTCCCGGGCAGGTGGAAAATTGTTTGGACACACTTTTAGCCCCTTGGTCCCTGTTCATCTAGCAGTAAAGTAAGGCCCATTAAATCGAAGGTTGCGAATTGTATTCAGGTTGTTGGCTTCCAATAACTTGCTGACAAAAACCTATGACTCTTCAGGCTTCTACGCCCTTGACAAAAAACCTATGACCCTTCATGCTTCTATGTCCTTAATTCATGAGACATAAAGGCAAGCATGAACTTAGCATGCTTCCCAGATGGGCGCTGTAAGCGCTTCTACACTTCACCTTGCACAGGATGTAGGGGGGTGCTCAATAAACTAAAAAAAAAAAATTGCAAATCTAATTATAGTTTTAGAAGAAAAATCGAAGGCTGGTTTGACTGAAAATTTCCAAATTTTAACATCTCTACAGGACGATGTTTCCCTGACTTAATCACCTCAGTGGCTGTTCATAAGACCTTACCTGAGACCTGTCACTCGTGGCCTGGTCACGTTACTTGACGCCCCTATAAAACCTCCCTCTGTAATTGTTCTTGTCAGGTGTGGCCACTGAGGGGTGATGCTGCAGCTGTTGACAATCTTATCAGGCAGCTGTATTAAGCCACGACACCTTCTCTACGCCTACAGCTCACTTATCCACCCTGTCTCTTGCATTTTAGTCACTTACTGTTCTTCTCACACTACTGAAGAGGGCCGTGGGCTACGGTCCAACTATACAGTGTTCTCGTTATTCTGTGTTTTATCTTCTACAGTGGGATATCATTTGTATTATTTATGTGGCATTACATAATTTCTTCACACACACACACACACACACACACACACACATAACAAAGGTTGACATCCATGTATAAACTGTACAGTATACAACACTTACTGTCAACAGCTTGGGTGATGTTGGTAGCCATGAGGGAGGCAACCTGCAGGACTGTCAACACACGGGTGACAGGGCTGCCACCTCCGGCAGTAGACGACTGGTAAAGTTATCCAGGGCCTCACCCATCCTGCAGGAGGAGGAGGAGTAGCACACTGTAGCACCACCACCAGGAATCAACAGTACCTAATGTTTACTTCCACCACAACACAGCGTGATTATTATGAGCTATACAAGACTCACCTGCCTTACCTTCACTCCACACAACCATACTTACTGCAGCTACGGAACCCCACACACACACACACACACACACACACACACCTGATATGACCTTAAAACGAACGTGATAATGTGGTACCTGGTAGAATGAAACACAGGTGGATACGTGCGGAGGAGTCTGGGCAGGATGGTGGTGGCGCCCATCAGTAAGGTGTGGTAGACGGGGCGTTGTCTTAGCTTCTCCTCGACCTCTTGAAACCCGGTGTTGAGTGTCTCCATTGACGACCCCGCCTTCTCCAGCACCGCCTTCCACGATGCCTCACCTGTCTCCTGTAGGTGGTGGTGTTCTTCATTAGCTCTCTCTTTTCTTCAATAAACCTGAATCACTAAAAACAGCTTCAGTTCAAGACATAAAGAACGGTAAAATAATCACTTAAATTTTTGTATTGTCACTACTTCCTGCATCATCATCATCATCATCATCATCATCATCATCATCATCATCATCATATTATCATCATCATCATCATCATCATCATCATCATCATCATCATCTATACACTCGTAATTGACACATTAATAACAGCATGGTGTAATACGGTGGGTCAGGGCTGAGAGAGTCTGGCTATAAGGAACACAAGTGTATATTAATGTGTAGTAATGTATAACTAATATGAATGGATCACCTGAATATTAGCCCCCAGCTTATTTCACCTGGAGATTAACCTAACCTAACCTTAAACCTAACCTAACCTAACCTAACCTTAAACCTAACCTAACCTAACCTTAAACCTAACTTAACCTTAAACCTAACCTAACCTACCCCAGCTTATTTCACATGAAGATTAACCTTACCTAACCTATCCCAGCTTATTTCACAAAAGATTAACCTAACCTAACCTATCCCAGCTTATTTCACATAAGATTAACCTTACCTAACCTTAAACCTAACTTAACCTTAAACCCAACTTAACCTTAAACCTAACCTAACCTATCCCAGCTTATTTCACTAAAGATTAACCTAACCTAACCTACCCCAGCTTATTTCACCTGGAGATTATCTAACCTAACCTTAAACCTAACCTAACCTATCCCAGCTTATTTCACCTGGAGATTAACCATCTTAATGCTAACCTAACCTAACCTAACACTAACCCTAACCTAACACTAACCTAATCTAACCTAACACTAACCTACCTAACCTAACACTAACCTAATCTAACCTAACCTAACCAACAACAGAAACCTAACCTAACCTAACCTAACACTAACCTAATCAACCTAACCTAACACTAACCTAATTCTAACCTAACCTAACCTAACCAAACCTAACACTAACCAAACCTAACACTAACCTAATCTAACCTAACCTAACACTAACCTAACCTAATTCCACCTAACCTAACACTAACCTAATCTGACCTAACCTAACCTACACCAACCTAACCTAACCTAACACTAACCTAATCTAACCTAACCTAACCCTAACACTAACCTAATCTAACCTAACCTAACCTAACACTAACCTAACCTAACCTAACCTAACACCAACCTAATCTAACCTAACCTAACCTAACCCAATCTAACCTAACACTAACCTAATCTAATCTAACCCAACCTAACAGAAACCCAACCTAACCTAACCCAACACTCAACCTAATCTAACCTAACCTCAACACTAACCTTAATTTAACCTAACCTAACACTAACCAAACCTAACACCAACCAAACCTAACACTAACCAAACCTAACACTAACCTCATCTAACCTAACCTAACACTAACCTAACTCAACCTAACCTAACCTAACACTAACCTAATCTGACCTAACCTAACCTAACACTAACCTAACCCAACCTAACACTAACCCAATCTAAACCTAACCTAACCTAACACTCAACTCAACCTAACCTAACCTAACACTAACCTAATCTAACCTAACCTTAGAAGTTCATAAAAATCTGATGTTAACAATTGATTGAAAGAAACACTGAATGAAGAGGAGGGAATGAAGGAGAGGAAGAGGAGGGAATGAAGGAGAGAGAGAAGCATCAAGAGGAAGATGGAAGGGAGGGAGAGAGAAATACTCTCAAGAAGTTGAAGATGGGAAGGAGGAGAGAGAGAGAAGACCACAAGAGGAAGATGAAGGAGGGAGAGGAGAGAGGAAGCATCAAGAGAAGATGAAGGGAGGGAGAGAAAGAGAAGACCAAGAAGAAGATGAAGGAGAGAAAAGGAAGACCAAGAGGAAGATGGAAGGAGGGAGAGAGAGAGGAAGACCAAGAAGAAGATGGAAGGAGGGAGAGAGAGAGAAGACCAAGAGGAAGATGGAAGGAGGGAGAGAGAGAGGAAGACCCAAGAGGAAGATGAAGGAGGAGAGAGAGAAGACCAAAGAAGAAGATGGAAGGAGAGAAAGGAAGACCAAGAGGAAGATGGAAGGAGGGAGAGAGAGAGAGAAGAATAAGAAGAAGATGGAAGGAGGGAGAAGAGGAAGACCAAGAGAAAAGATGGAAGGAGGGAGAGAGAGAGGAAGACCAAGAAGAAGATGGAAGGAGAGAGAGAGAGAAGACCAAGAAGAAGAAGATGGAAGGAGAAAGGAAGACCAAGAGGAAGATGGAAGGAGGGGAGAGAGAGGAAGACCAAGAGGAAGATGGAAGGAGGGAGAGAGAGAGGAAGACCAAGAGGAAGATGGAAGGAGGGAGAGAGAGGAAGACTAAGCGGGAAGATGGAAGGAGGGAGAGAGGAAGACCAGGAGAAGATGAAGGAGAGAAAGGGAAGCTACTCAAGAGGAAAATGGAAGGAGGGGAGAGAGGAGGACCAAGAAGAAGATGGAAGGAGGGGGAGAGGAAGACTCAGGAAGATGGAAGGAGGAGAGAGAGGAAGAACAAGAGGAAGATGGAAGGGAGGGGAGAGAGGAAGCATCAAGAGGAAGATGGAAGGAGGGAGAGAGAGAGGGGAAGACCAAGAGGAAGAGCTGAAGGAGGGGAGAGAGAAGACCAAGAGGGAAGATGGGAAGGAGGGAGAGAGAGGAAGACCAAGAGGAAGATGGAAGCGAGAGGAGAGAGAGAGAGAAGACCAAGAGAAGATGGAAGGAGAGAGAAAGGAAGACCAAAAAGGAAAATGGAAGGAGAGGAGAGAGGACACTCAAGAAGAAAGGATGGAAGGAGGAAGAGAGGAAATAGACCAAGAGAAAGATGGAAGTAGAGAAAGAAAGACCGAAGAAAGAGGAAGATGGAAGGAGGAGAGAGGAAGACCAAGAGGGGGTGGAAGATGGAAGGAGGGAGAGAGAGAGGAAGACCAAGAGGAAGATGGAAGGAGGGAGAGAGAGAGAGGAAGAACAAGAGAAAGATGGAAGGAGGGGAGAGAGAGGAAGACTCAAGAGAAAGATAGAAGGAGGAAGAGAGAGAGAGGGAAGACCAAGAGAAAGATGGAAGGAGGGAGAGAAGAGAGAGGAAGACCAAGAGGAAGATGGAAGCGAGGGGAGAGAGAGAAAGAGGAAGACCAAGGAGGAAAAGAAGGGAAGGAGGGAAAGAGAGAGGAAGCATCAAGAGAAAGATAGAAGGAGAAGTAGAGAGAGAGGAAGACTCAAGAGAAAGATGAAGGAGGGGAGAGAGAGAGAGGAAGGACCAAGAGAAAGATGGAAGGAGGGAAAGAGAGAGGAAGACCAAGAGAAAAGATGAAGAGGGAGAGAGGAGAGAGGAAGACCAAGAGGAAGATGGAAGGAGGGGAGAGAGAGAGAGGGAAGACCAAGAGGAAGATGGAAGGAGGGGAGAGAGAGGAAATAATTCAAGAGAAAGATAGAAGGAGGAAGAAAGAGAGAGAGGAAGACCAAGAGAAAGATGGAAGGAGGGAGAGAGAGGAAGACTAAGAGAAAGATAGAAGGTGGAAGAGAGAGAGAGGAAGACCAAGAGGAAGATGGAAGGAGGGAGAGAGGAAGACCAAAGAAAGATAGAAGGAGGAAGAGAGAGAGAGGAAGACCAAGAGAAAGATGGAAGGGGGGAGAGAGAGAGAGAGGAAGACCAAGAGAAAGATGGAAGGAGGGGAGAGAGAGAGAGGAAGACCAAAGAGAAAGATGGAAGGAGGGAGAGAGATGAAGACCAAGAGAAAGATAGAAGGAGGAAGAGAGAGAGAGAAGCATCTCAAGAGAAAAGATGGAAGGAGGAGAGAGAAGACCAAAGAGAAAGATAGAAGGAGGAAGAGAGAGAGAGAAGACCAAAAGAAAGATAGAAGGAGGAAGAGAGAGGAAACACTCAAGAGAAAGATAGAAGGAGGAAGAGAGAGAGAGGAAGACCAAGAGGAAGATGGAAGGAGGAAGAGAGAGAAGACCAAAAGCGGAAAGGATAGAAGGGGAGGTGAAGAGAGAGAGAGGAAGACTCAAGAGAAAGATGGAAGGAGGGGAGGGGAGAGAGAGGAAGACTAAGAGAAAAGATGGAAGGGAGAGAGATGAAGACCAAGAGAAAGATAGAAGGAGGAAGAGAGAGAGGAAGACCGAAGAGAAAGATGGAAGGAGGGGAGAGAGAGGAAGACCAAGAGAAAGGAGGAAGAAGGAGGAAGAGAGAGAGAGGAAGACCAAGAGGAAGATGGGGAGGGAGGGGGGGGAGAGGAAGAACACAAAAGAAAGATAGAAGGAGAAGAGAGAGAGAGGAAGCATCAAGAGAAAGATGGAAGGAGGGAGAGAGAGAGGAAGCACCAAGAGAAAGATGGAAGGAGGAGAGAGAGACTGACACTGCTGAGAAAGACAGAAGGAGTGAAGAGAGAGAGAGGTAAAGACCAAGAGAAAGATGGAAGAGGGAGAGAGAGGAAGACCAAAGAGAAAAGATAGAAGGAGAAGAGAGAGAGGAA